GGGAGGAAGCGCAGCTCATCCAAAATATCCAAAGGGATGTTCCATACCACAGAACATCATGTTCAATATATAAACTGTGGGGTGCTGGCTGGAAGGGACTGATCGCTGCTCAGGTATGAGCTGGGCATTGGTCAGTCAGTGGGTGGTGAGCAATTATACTGCACATCACCTGTTTTGCTTGGGTCTTATTCCTCCCTCTCTCTTTTCTATTATCGTTGTTACTGCTATTACTATTATTATTATTACATTTTTTTTTAATTATTAAATTGTTCTTATCTCAACCTACGGATTTTACCTTTTTCTGATTCTCCTTGCTATCCCACGGAGAGGCGTTTGGAGTGAGTGAGCAGCTGTGTGTTTACCAGCTGGGGTTAAACTACGAGACTCCATGACTCTGTCCCTGTGACTACCTGGAGCATCCCTCGGCAGAGTCCTCTGCGGCTGGCCATCAGCCAGAAGAAAGCCTCCCGGGTGGATTTCTCCCTCCCTGATGATAGCCGCAGCCACTCAGCCCTTTCTGACGGCCCAGCCCTCTCCCCTTGTGACCTCCCAAAAGCGCACACAGCTCCTGCTTTGCCTTGGCTCTGCTCCTCTCCTGTGGCTTCTCACCCGTGGGAAGCCGGGACCGAGGCACGCCGCCTTTCCAGGGAGATGGGGAAGGGAGCTGCTTGTCCCCACACGGGCGGGGCTGCACCACCCCTGGGCACGGTCGGCGCTTCCCCGGGGCCGCTGATGCAGCACCATGGAGAGAGGAGTGCGCCCGCCGGCACCAGCGGAGGGCAGGGAGTGGGGAGCAGGGGAGCGAGCGGGCAGGAAGCAACGGGCATGGGATTCTGTCAAGCAACGAGGAGCAGCAGCACAACCCTCACGCAGCCTGACCCCCTGCAACCTGATTTAGGATGTGCATAAAGCCGTGGTGTTGGCCGCTGGGGGATCTAGCACCAAGTGCTCACCCCTTAGGCTCAGGAGAAGCCTGGGCTTGGCTGCCGTGCATATATCTGGCTCGTCGACTGGTAGCAATAAAACAGATAGTGTGTTTTCCCTGGCCGCAAGTTTCTATATGGAAAGGGACACTCCCATGTCAGTCCTTTCCTGCTGTAGGTTGAGTTCTCTGGGAAAGCTGCTAGTGTCACCCTGAAGCACGACTGGAATTGCTCTCCCCACCCTGATGAACACAAATGATGTTTGACTACAGAAGGCTGTTCCGGGTACAGGTGTTGCAATAGCAGTTGTCTTGTTTCAGCTTCCTTCCACTGTTTAGGTTCATTGCAGCATCAGCATCATGAAAAGGCTCTCTGAATCTGCTTGCCGATGTGACCCAGAACACCTGGGCATTGTCCTTTCTGTGTTGGCTACCATCAGAGTAGCACTACTTGACTCATGAGGCTCCATCAAAAGAGGCACTGACAAGATGTCAGCAGAAGATCTGAGGCTCAAAAAAGCAAAGGTTCAAGGAAGCACATTTCTTCTGCTTTCTTGTACACCTCCCTGAACTCATGGCATGGAAAACCAGAATGCGCATGAAACAGTGCCACAGGCAAAGCATATCAAATGCCAAACTAATTGTTTGAAGAAGCCTAGTAGCTGCCCTGACAGACTAAGGAAGTGTCATAGGAAAGGGATGTGGACACAACTCCGTTTGCTAGTTACAATTCTGTATTTTATGTGAATGAAACAGCTCTCTGTAGCATCATCAAAATCAAAATAACTGAAGTGTCTAAGCAGTGCTAGACAGCTAAAAGATAGTTCTTGTCAAATCTGGTTAATTCTGTGATTGTAAGAATTCAGAATTATACACATTGAGAGGAATGAGAAGAGAGGTTAACTACTGTCTGTGGAGCACTGAGGTGTTAGCAGGAGGCAGGGTGGGTGGCAACTCTGGCATAAAAATTCAGTATCTTTTTGGAGTCCACAAATCCAGAGCTTTAGTTCCCAGCCTCACTCCCTGAAGGGTCTTTGTGGACCTCTCTTACTGATAAGGACTGAGCAGTGAATCAAAAGTTACTGGTTTTCTTAAACAATATTGTCTCACTGCTAGTTTTAATTTGTGGTATTTATTGACTGTGTGAGTTTATGTCTGTGAGTAATGGTCCCTTGGTTTTGATCATATAATTTCCATGACTGTTTCTGATGCACTGATAATCATAACCAACTTAACTGAAGAGACAATGTTCCCAGATAATATTTAGCTTGAAGCTTGTTGTATTTGTGTCAGATTTGATGAATGACTTTGTTACATATTTCTCCCAAAGCAGTTGATTTAATAAAAGATATTGCTTCTTTCCACGAACACTACCTTAAATGAATGTAACTACAAAGCTATTACTATTCAGGATCTCCCTCCAGGATCTTTCAGTGGAATGTTTCAGTCACTGCAGCAGAGCACACTGTGGCTGTACCATGTGAATGTGCATGTACATTTGGCAACAGCCCAGACAGCTTTGGACACTGTGCTAACATAGATTTCCAGAAACACGAACCCCTCGAGATCTGTATGTGAGCTTGGTTGCAGAAGCTGAGATCTTATTGCCTTGGCTGTGCTCCTATCAGCACAACTAGTCTTTAGCAGAAAGTCAGTTCTGGTAAATACCTACATACTGCTTGTGACCATGGGGTAACACTGCTCAAAGAAAGACCTCTGGAGCCTATTTGTTTGCTTGATGTGAAAAACAAGAAAAAAAATATCTTAAATGCAGAAACCTCTCCTGCAAAATCCTCACAAAATTGCAATCAAACCTTTAATGAGTGAATGAATCTGCTTTGGAGAAGAAGTGACTTATGATATAACATATATATCATAATATAATACTAATGTTACTGTTACTGCTAATACTTTCTGTAGGGTAACCTGATAGATAGGAATGGAATGAGGAACTTGTGTAAGTTATCTTTGGCTATAGGAAAGATTGCAAATAGATTCCATAAAAAGATGAACACACAGAAGAAAAAGTTATATTGCCAGCCCTTCCTGATGTCAGTATGTCAGTTATGATGGTACATTGAAGCTCTGAGGATAGAGATGAGAGTTCATTACTTCTTTAACATGAGCATTTTATTGTTTTACAATGTAGGACAGAGTGAGAGTGCAAAGCTCTTTCACTGTGGAACTCTTGTTTTCCTCGGATTATCAGGAGTTTATGTTTAGCAGGTTTTCCAAACTAAATACCTCACTCCTTCCCAGTAGTGTTTACGCTACATGTAACATTACCCTTTCCTGGTGCCTGCACTGGCAAGTTAAAATTAGACTTTCTAAATGTCATTACAGCAGCTTATTACTCTCTTACTTTAACAAGAGTATGCTAGTTTTATTTATTGTGAATTTCTTGTCTGTGTTACTCTCAACAACAAATAAGCAAAATCTTACTCAGATGCTTAAGTATATATTTAAAGGATGCACACATAACATGCATATTTTGTTTATTCAAGTTTCAATCAACAAGTGATCAAAATAATAGCAGCAATACAAAGTGGCAAATAGATTACTGATAGCTGATTATTCTGGAAGTAGCTTTTCTACTACTAATAATAGCAATAATGGTAGTTTCAGTTACTTTACATTTCTTTAAACAATGCCTGAGAAGAAGAGCTGGGGTTTTTTTTCTTTAAATCTTGCAGGAAATAATCCATAAATAGTTATTTGCAAGGATACAATACTCAGTTTTTAAAAGTATGTGTGAGTTTCTATGCCTTTTAAGTAATTTTTGATAAATGGTATTCTTTAAAAGAAGTAAAACTCTTCTTATCCATTCACATCCCTGGTGTGATTCGTGATGTTTTGAAGTAAAAAGTGTATAAAATGAGGCCGAGTTTTATCTCAATATCGCCTGTATGCGTAAGGGTAGATCTGTATGTTCCAGCATGTAGTCTGATGTGTCAGGGGCATGAGAGGCAAAAAAAGGTAAGGATCTGTAATAACCAAGTTTCTATGTTTCCGTATGTATGCAAGTCTATGACCCTGTCTTTGTAATATGGTAACAACCATGCAACAGTGCATTTTATATCTTGTTCAACCACTGGTTGTTAATATCTTAGAATTGTGCTTGTTTCTGGTCTCACAAAAGCTTTGGAGGACTGGTTCTGTCTAGACTGGATTTGTTTTCTGGCTCCCTAAAATACCAGTGTCTTAATGCATTTTTCTCTACTGTAGTCTGACTCCATCTTGCTAGTGTGCTGCCCACATCCAGGAAAGACGAGTCCCTCTGCCCATGCCGTCATGAGTGCTTATACAGTTTCACTGAAAAAAACATCTTGCCTAGTGTCTTAAGGCAAATAGAAAACAAAACTCTCAATTTACTGCTTTATATACAGAGCAAAACACATTGCATAGTACACTTTTAGTTAGTCCCTGTCTCTGAGAAAAGATGTTTTTGACATAAGGCAAGAAGTCCCCATTTGTTTTTACACTCTAATAGATGGCTGACAAATCCAACACTTTCCATTAAAACGGACATTCTGGAACAGCACACCTTTTATCTTTAAAGTTAAATTAGTAGCCTGTGATACAGTAGGTATATACACACACACTTAATTCCCAGCATATGAATATTTGCATAGTATTCATGGCTGCGGTTATGTGCTATCTAATTTGTGCGGATACTAAAAAGTGCATCAATATCTGTCACAAACCTTGCTATCTTTCCCCCTCATGCCATCCAGCAAGCAGGATGCTTATTTTTGCACGGAAATTAGAGCTGCAAGATAGTTTAGTCCATTTCTCTGCTAACAGTGGTTTGATACTGATAGTGTATTCCTGAAACTATGTCCAGTGTACTTATCGCATATTACCAACCACAGAGTAGAGCTTACTGTCTTTCTTGGAATACATATCATTCCTAAAAAGTTGTTTCTGATTTTCTGCCTACAAGATCCTTTATTTATATTCATCACAATGCTTTAAACATAATCTCTTGCACAAGCCAAAATAATCTTTTTCTCCTCAGGTTCACATCTTGCAATACACATGGCTTTCCATATGTTCCAGTTAAATTATGCTTACTTACCTTCTACTTTGAAGATAGTAAGGTGAGGTCTGCAGTGAAAAGCACCCAGCGCATTGCCAGCACAGTTCATCCAAAGACCCTGGAAAACCCAGGTTGCAGTGATAACAGATGATGCTCGACTAGTGACTTTCCACTCATTTGATGCAGTAGCAGCAATAGCAGCTCCCAGCCCACAGAAACAAAATATGAAAGCTATAATCTGTATTCCTAGCATGTTTCTCTGTAACTCAGGGACTTAGTAATGCCACTGTGTGGAGAGAAAAGTACTGTAGTCATGTGAGTAAGCAAAAAGGCATAACATAAGCAAATTATACTTGAACAAGTTCAGTACCACTTGCTGCAGAAAGTTAATGTGGCTGAAAGAAATTGTCATGCTTCACTGATTTAAGAAAGGCCCTAGGCATTACAAATGTTTAGAAAGAAAGTCATAGTACAACTTTATCGGAGCTAATTACTAGTACTTACTTGCTAATTTCTAATTGTAAAAATTAGTTGTTTTCATATTTTTTTCCAATTAAGGTATTCCAGTTAATGCTTAATTTTTAGTTAATTGGAAACTTACAACCGTTGCAACTAGCAAAATAGGTTCAGAGTCCAAACTGTACAGTGCTATTTAACGGATTACCATAACATTTTAGAAGGATCACACAACACTTGAAAAATAACTCATTGAAATGTGAAATTAATTCAGGCATTACTAGTCACCATGCAAGCAGCTCTAAAACAGTAGCCTGTTGGAGGTACTGTCTGTGGGTGTATTTGTAGAATAGCAAATCTAGAGCAACAAAAGAAAGAGCAAGTGGTCCCTGAGTGGTGAATCAGCTGCAGCAGTTAGCAGAATGAACCTCATTGAGTCTCAGCCCCCACTGAGACTTTTCCTTCAGTCAGTGTAGAAAACTTACTGCTTCTTAAGCTCTGCATGAAGTACGTAGCACAGCAACATCTGTCCTACCACTGACTGAACTTCTGCAAACTCATGCCATGAAGAATTCTCAAAGAATGTAACTGATTAAAAAAAAATGTAATCTTTGTAGTAGGCACCACCACAGTGAAACAGCTATTCTACTTCCAGTTCCTGAGTATAGTATCCAATACTGGTGTGGGACCTACATACAGTTTTGGAACATGTGTGGCCTTCACTCTTTTAAGATGACAGCTTCTAGTTGTACTTAAACCTCTCCTCATTGTCTGGTCCTTTTGTCCTCCTCTCTGAAGAAGAACATGTCTTTTCTCTTTGGTGCTATTATATGCCATTTGGTGACATGAGATCACCCTGGATATTGAGCATACCCCATCACTTTTGACAGTAAGAGTAGTCTATTTTTTTTACCTTTGGGTTCTTCTAGTGTTGACTGTCTCTGTTACACCTGTGATAAATGCCACACTGAACTTTGGCACTGAAGTTTTTCTGTGGACTTTTCACAGCTCAAGGAAGGGTTAATCAAGGATGCTAAAAAATCATTGACATTCCACATAAACAGCAAGAGGAATTTCATCGAGACTATCCTGTTGAACCACCACCTGATACTTCTACTTTAACGAGCCTTTGGCTCAGCACTGAGAAGAAGGACCCAAAAGGATGACTGTACAGACTAGAGAATTACACTACAGGAATGAATTTCTTTTCAGAGTAATTAGTATGTTCACATCCCACACATCTAGAGTGAACAGAAATTTTTTTATTAACACAGCCAGCTTGAAAGACATGAAAAGTGGTTTTGCTACAGAGCAACATTATAATATAGCAGGTTGTTTTAATGTTGAAGATGATAATACATAGGCAGGAAGCAATTTTGCATTGCTGTCAAATAATCCTGTGACATATTTTTCCTATGCTAAGGGTCAAACTTCATGTAATTTTTCATATATCTCTTCATGAAATTGAAAAGGGTATAGAGGAGAATACAGAAATGGGTCCTGCTTTGAAGCAGATTTTTGAGAGCTAAGATTATTCTTTTTTCTACATCTGTGATACAAAATGGTGTGGGTTTTGGCTGGGTTTTTTTGTTTGTTTGTCAAAGACTGTGTTAGCTCACAGAAAGACTGAGAAGACATGTCATTAGGTACATTTTTACTTTTTTGAACCAGCTCAGTGACAATGATGTTGGCTGAGTGCTCAGAGTAGCTCAGACATGTTTTACATATGATGCTAAATTCAGGCCTTGTTCTGGACTTTCCCTGAGTGTTCTCACTGATATAAAAACCAAAACCAAAACCAAAACCAAACAATCCCATGAAAACCAAACCAAACCACCAAAAATCTTCCTGAAACTGAGAAGCTGCTCATTTGGACTGGAAAAGCAAGGAAGACTGGATGCCAACATTATCCATTCCTCCATACTGTTCTTTTTTGCTATACACAGCAGTGTGCCTTATCAACATAGCCTGTGAGGAGCTACCCGGGCTCAGCAGGATTGGGCTATTTGTCTGCTCCTTAGTGACTTTGCCCTAAGGCAGAGATGCGTCCTCAGTAAGACCTTGCTCTTTTAAACTGATATGCTAGGAAGGGTTTTCACATTTCTGTTTCTAGATAAACTGCAATACAAATTGCAGTCATTTTGCATTGCCTAAGTCATTTTGCCTTGCCATTCTCAGATGATTGTCTACCAAGGTCCCATCCAGTACATACTCAGTCTTGAATGTCATGCTGGTGGGACACTGAAAGCCATTAATTTTACTGGAAAGTGCCTGTGGTCACCACTTGAACCATAGACTACACTTCCATAGTTTAAGTAGGACTTAGTGGTTTCTTGGCCTTTATCCTGATTCTTTTCTAGTGCATGAATTCTGTGGAATTCATGGTCAAAAGCACTTCACCCTGTGTTGTTTCTAGGCACTTAGTGTGTGAGTGATGAATAAATTAAACAGATACTTAAGTGATAAGAAAGAAGTAAGCAGTCCTGTTTACAACCCTCATTTCTTCTATAAACTGTCAGGAAATAAGTTAATCAGTCATTTAAGAAGTTCAAGGCAAAGTTTAAAGTTAACCTGTTAAAGGCATTTTCCATTATTTCAAAACTTCTTTTCTCTGTTACTGAGCAGACAAAAGTTGGAAAACAGCCATGAGTTTAAGAACTGTTTAAATACAGGTCCGGAAAAGGGAAAACATTTTGCTACAGGCCTTTGTTGAACCATTTTCCCCAAATGTCACAAATGGACTAGCTGATCACGTGATATACTGCTCTCTGTGTTTAATTGAATGCTGCGTCAATAACGTGTAATATTTCTTTTGCTACTAATATTGTTCTTTTAAATCGGTCCAATGCCAGTTTTTAAACACAGCTGACACTTTTGCAGCAGGCAAGAATGTTTACAAAGGTAAGCTGTAGTTTTCAGTTTGTGAATTTGACTTCAGCCTATGTTGTTCTTGTAACCTACTAGCTGAATGAGTTCCCAAGCCTGATACATATCTGACAGTGGACAACATGTTTCCCTCGTGAAGACAAACACACTTAGATAAACTGATTTAGTTGTGGGGAAAGTTAGGGTAAAATTAAAAAAAAACAAACAACAAAACCTAAGTGCAAATCAGTCCTGATGTTATCTGGCTAAGAGAAAGGAGAACTCTGCAAAGGAGGTACCTAAGGGAGCATGGAGGCAGCAAAGTGTGAGACAAATAATTAGTTATGCCAAAGAAATCCCTCTGCAGAGTAGGTGGACCATACAAATTGATTCTGAGCACTGCCAGGAAGTTATGGGAGGCCTAAACAACAATGGAGAAGTTGGACAAGCAATAAAACCAGACCTTACAGAGACAGAGTAAGTAACTCAAAACTTCTGGAGAAGTCAAAGAAGTAAAAACATTGTGTAAAGTGGTGAAGAAATCAAATGCCTGGAGGCATCACTACTCAAGTCAGACAAGCAAGGGCTATGCTGTATGGCAATATGATGGTCCAATTACACAAACACAAAAAGAGTTACTGAGAGCTGGCAGTAAAGTCTGACATGGTGTTGAAAGAAGGAAGGGTGCATTCCAGATGAGTGCCAAGTGCTGCTGTCTCTGCCAGATGCATGCAATTTAGAAACTGAGTAAACAGGGTAGCATGCATAGGCTGAAGCACCACCTAGAGAGGAATTTCAAGGAGCAATGAAATCATTGGAATTGGTAAAGTTGAGGGAAAAGACAATTTCACAGTTTGCTATAGCAAAAGGGCATCAGATTATAGTGGTATGAAGCAGTTGAGGTTTAAGGTGTTTGCTGTTCACCTTGTTAGTCATGAAGTTAGACATAAAGAGAGAAGGAAACATGAGTCTTATGCTCATTCCAAATTTATTGCTTTTTATTGAGCATTGCAGTCACAATACAATAATACAATTATATTAGTATTAGACACTATAATATAATTCTATTATTAATAGTACATTTTTTATATTCCCATCCCTGTAAATATTTAAGGTCAAGTTGAATGGGGCTCTGAGCAACCTGGTCTAGTTGAATATGTCCCAGCTCATTGCAAGGGGTTTAGACTAGATAACCTTTAAAAGGACCCTTCAAACTCAAAGTATTATATGATTCTCTGATATTGCTGTAGAAGAGAAAGAGAAGCTTCGTATACTCATCACTAGGAGAACTGCTTTGGTAATATATGGATGCCGATGGTAACCCAGTTCAGGATTTACACTCACTTTATACAAGCTATGTGTTTAAGAAAATACTTGACTATATACTGATAGATATACATATATTCAATATCTATCTATATATATATGAACCATACTTTATTACATTTTAAAGAATTTTATGTTAGTTGTTTAAAGGGTAAACTGCTCACTTGTGCATTATTTACATGAGCACTTCTTGAATATTTGCCTAAGAATGGACAGAATTTTGAACAACTGATTCAAATCAGTGTTTGGTGTGAGAATAAAAATACACAGGATTAACTTTGTTTTTCTCATCATGTTCCTCCTGGACATTAAAGATAAGATGTGGATTTGAAAATGCTACTTTAGGATGAGATAGCATTATGCTCCTTAGGTTACTCTGTTGACATTAGGCACTAGCAAACTTATTCGGATTAAAGACATTTGCTGTCTCCAAGTGTATTGTTATCGGCTGCATACTCAACCTAGACTTGCAGTAAGTGGCAAAAAGCCGAAATGGCTTAATCTACATAAAAACGTGAAATGCAAAACACAAAAACCCAGTGAAGTTGAAATGGAAGGACAAATCATATGTTTGATCAGTGCTGAAAGCCAGGGTGAAATTCAAAGTCATTGTGCTTTGCTGAGAACTTGTGGACAGATACAGATGAAGTGATGGGCTCAATGAAGA